TTTGAGCTATTCCGAGCTTGAGGGAAAAACTAGCTGGGTCGAGCTAATCTGAGATGCAATTGCAGAGCATTAATTATCAAGCTATTTTAGGGGATGAAATAGCTCCATCTTGGAAGTTTGTTACCTAAAACAGTTTTTTCATCAACCACAGAATGGCTAATAAAGATGCATAACCTTACAGCAAATGATGCATGTGACGTCATCCAAAAAAAAAACATTTCATCAAAGCATTCATCATTAACTAAATCAAAATTTGTAAGAAAAGTCTACAAAATGTAGAATTACTTAAATTACTGAAACTATTATATATTTTAGTCAGAGGTCCTGAGTACTAGAGGGCTTTTGTTGTCATGATCATCCGTGCGCATGTCTATGAMGTCATAATTATTCCGTTCTAATTGAACAACTAATCTTAACTTTAGAAAGTAAACGTGTTCATCTGAGCCAATCGAAAGARCAAAGAACACATATTTTATCCTTCAAATTTCTAAAATATGGTTGAAGAAAGTAGGTTTAAATTGGAAACATGCATTTTTGCGTYCTTTCTCTTTTTTCAAATTTTCTTCCTTTTTTACGCCAGTCGATTGATTTCTTCATTCATTTTGTTAGGTTCCTTTTTTTCTCTTTTTATTTTCGTTTCTTCGTTTCCTATGGTTGTCTTTTTTCTTTCTTCCTWAAATTCGTTTTGCATGAACACGTGGTTTTGTACTTTTTTTTTCTATTCTCAGAGTTCGTAATTTTATGGACTTTACTCAGTTTCAGATTATCCCGCTGACCAGGTGTTATGGTGGACTGCCGTCGAGGAATTTATCCATTTAACGATCTTGATGTCTGTGATAATATATATGGTGTATTCGAGCATTATCTGGTATGACAATAACTAGATACTTCCCAACAATTACCTACAGTGCCTGATGATTCGATCTAGGCTCTTACGAATTAACTCCAATTTGGCCAATAAGCTTGGTAACGTTACCGACATATAGGGGCACTAGGGAGGGGAGGGGTGGTCTCAGAACTACGTTACCTTACATCTAGGGGCGATGGGAAGGGGTGGTATTACCCCAGAGCTTTTTCCCGCCTCGAGAACTGTAGTACAAATATAAATATGTTTTATTTGTTAAGCCTCGATTTTCTGTGCAGGGGTTTACTCCCCTGTTCTTGGTAACGTTACCAAGACCTATCAATTTGGCTGACGACACATATGAATAAAAACAGCCATGCTGATGGTCTGCGACAATTATCAAGGATGTTAATAACGAAGACATGGCGACTGTGTTGGAATTTTTTTTGTTACTAACATAACGTAGCCGTCGTACAACCCTTCTCTTTAATGATTAAAAAATATATAGGCGAGATTTTAATTTTGTTGTTGTTGTTGTTGATATCAGTGTGATAGAGACGATACAAGATCTGAAGAGTCTGTTTCAGACGGCCAGGGGAAATAGAAACACAATACTGATGCAGCGCAGGGTATCTCTTGAAGACTGTGGTGATGAGGAGGCGGAATCTGATGACGAAGGTACAAGTGATCATGAAGAAGATGGTGGCTACGAAACATCCTCTACCATGAACGAACTATCCTGAGCTAACGTTTTATTCTCCTTTGTTTCTATTTCGCTTCCTTTTATTTTCGTTTCTGCATTTTTCTGTCCTTTCTTTTTCCATTCATCATTTTTCTTACTGTTCTTCATTCTTCGAGCCATAGTCCCTCCTTTCTTTCTTCATTTTTTTGCATCGTTTAAAATCAATTTCTTTCATAAGTCCAGTTTATTAAAGGATAGAATTATTTGGATTCATCGGCGAAAACATCTTTCTGCTTTTATCATTATTACCTTCTTCAACTCCCCATAGTGACGGGTAAATGTCTTCATATCTTTTCGTTGTTTGATTTCTTAACTAAGTAGCTTTACATCAGAGGTGGAGTGGGGAGATCAAAAAACGAATCATTCTCGTACCCAGCCTCTACTCATTTCACAAAAATTGGAAAACCTACCAATTTCAAGTGATTTGATTGTTGCAGTTGCACACGAGAAGACACATGAATATGAGTACAATTCAAACAAAGAATCTTATGGTTAAGAGAATGACACGTGGTCTAAATTGGAAAAATGTTACGCTGGTACAAAAAGGATTGATCTCCAAGCAGTTTGACGAGTTCTAAACTGGTTTTTTCGAACTGTAGACTTTAGTCCCTGTTTCATCTTTAGACGAGCGCGCGTACTTTAGGAGTAAAGCATTGAGAGATTGCCCTGCATCCACAAGATCTCTGGTAAGAAAAATGATACATAATTGATTAGCACAGCCCCGAATTTATCAATACACTAAAACGACCTCTGAACTGATAAAATTCTAACTCATAGATCGRGCCCTGAAACAATTTCAATCTCTGGGCTGAACAAGGTCAGGGTACGACTATCTCTCAGTTCAAACCCTGGAACAACCTCTTATGAAAGTTAGGAAAGATCATGAGAAATTGGAATTTAGCGCTGAGTACAGGAATCGAACTTGAGGCCACAGAGGTGAAAGGCGAGTGCAATGCAGCGAAGCCACCCTCGATGTCCTAACCATTAAACTCGGCGCAAGTAGGCGCAAAAGGCGTCGATTCTTTATAGGTTAGAAAGAAGCTGCCACTGGGCGTACACGTCCACGGTACTAAAGACTTACCTGATATACGGTTGAATTTCGTCAAATGTCCATTTCTGTCTTACTTTAAATAACTTCATGAATCTAAGACAACAGCAATAACAACTTAGCATAAAATACCCCACAACAGCAACAACAACGACAACAGAAGCCAAGATAGACGAGGGGTGTCATGCCAGAGATGCTTGTTATGTCACAAAACAGCATACAGGGCACGAAATTAACGCTCGCAAACTCGTAAAATGCGGGTAAAATTTTTCTTTTAGCGAGTGACAAAAAAATTAACTAGCTACGTTTTGAGAGTATGACCACAGTCCAGAAATTGAAGGACTGAGAAGTTTAGAGCCCGCATCAAGTAACGTTTGTTATTCAACGCGTTCGATCGCTAGAGACTTTGGAATTTTTGCTAATGGAAGGGGAATTATGGCAGCATTGATGTTGGTGGAATAGTGTTGTTGGTGATTGGCGTTGGTGATTGGTGTAATACCTCATATCGGGCTTCTCAGGCAAGTCATAATAAGGAAAATGCCAGATGACAGGAGGATGACTTCTCATGTCTGTAAGAGCAATACCCTGAAAAAGCCATAAACAAGAAGTGTCAGGCGTGCAATCTTCGTCGATTAAATAGGTTTTGGTGGACTTCAATTCCATGCATGTTGCCCTAAGTATTTCAGGTTTTCCCAACAACATCATGGAACACAGCGTAAGAAAATTGTAAGACAAGACGGCAATGACAAGAAATCGTAGTTGCTTATGACTTACAGACAGCTGATCAGATTTTGTCGTCATTCCGTCTGGCACGCTCTGCTGCCAGGAATCCATGAACTCGTGGTAATTAAACTATGAGTAAATGTAGTATCATTGTCGTTATTACCACCAAAAACAGCAGCGCATTGTCATGCATCACCATTCATATGTAATCATGACTGTGATCAATAACAGTAACACCAACAATGTCATCATCTTCATCATCGTCATAATCATTATACGTATCATGATCGTAACCAATAACAGTAACACAAGCATTATCATCATCATCATCATTATTCGTATGCAATCATGATTGTGATCAATAACAGTAACACCAACAATGTCATCATCTTCATCATCGTCATAATCATTATACGTATCATGATCGTAACCAATAACAGTAACACCAGCATTATCATCATCATCATCATTATTCGTATGCAATCATGATTGTGATCAATAACAGCAACACAACAATGTCATCATAGTAATCATTATTCGTATAATAATCTTAACCAATAGCTTAACATCAGCAATGTCATCATCATCATTATGATGCTAATGAATGAAATTCATCTTAAATTGCACACTGTGTAATATTGAAGAAATAGAAAACGCGCGCGCGTGCTGTCATAAAGCACGCGGGGGTTGGCAGAACACGAGAGAAGTGTTAGGAGAAGCACAACGCGTAGCGGAGTGCTTCTCGACACTTCTCGAGTGTTCTGCTAACCCCCAAGTGCTTTATGACTGCACACAGCACAACAAGCAAGTTTTTTATTTCTTTTAGAAAATACAAATTACAATAATAGATAGGAATGACGCAACGGAAAGTGCGCGCACGTGCAATGTGCTCTCATAAAGCACGCGCTCCAAACCAATCAGAACGCGACATTCATAACAGTTATTTTATAAATCAGTTTTCAAAACGTACCCTGTCCGCTGGACGTAAGAGATATTGCGCATAAAACTGGCATATTTTATCTTCATTTAATGCATATAAAATAGTCTGGTCGTCTGTGGAAAAAACCCACATATTGTTACAATTCATAACTAAACTTCTTCAATTGGCCTGTTGATATTCACGGAGCAAGGAAAGCTGGAGAACCTGGAGAAAAATTCTCGTGGCAAGGAAGAGAACAAAACATAATTAAACAAACTCAAATGTTGTAGCTAACCTTCATTTTCTACGTTCAATCTTTCTCCATAACGAT